ACCCTGAGCAGCAAAAGCTATCTCAGATCTTCCTCTGGAGTACACATGGCCCGTGGGAGGATCCATATGCTGCCCCACTATGAGCTGGAAAAGGGCCTGTGCTTTTTTCATTTGGTTATCAGATTGATTTCTTCTTGTTGTTTGTGAGCAGGGACTGGGGAGAGCAGGCGGGGAGAGGGTGTCAGCAGGGTTAGTGTCAGCAACAGATGCTGCTATACATACCACCCAGATGCAAGTCGATGAGGTCACTGTAATAAGCCTCTCCCCAATAGTCTACAAGGAATTGGTGAAGAGAGAGTTATTGGAGCAGATAACCCTCCTGTCCCCCCAAACCCCAAACAATCAATGACATGAAGCATAAGAAACACACAGAGATACAGCAAGAGGGCAAAGAGGAGGCTGGCGAGCAGGCACCTCTCTGCAGTGCATGACATACATATACACATGCCGAGTGATACAGTTCCTGGTGGTCGGAGGGGAGCATTCACTAAAAACCACAGGCGATCGAGTTAATGGCCAGTCACAGTGTGATTCCTATTTATACCTCTGATCAGTTAGGACGGAAGGTCTTGGTTTTGTTGGGAATCCTGACCCTCCTGGGATGCAACCTTGTCTAATTAAGAAGATTTAAAAAAATCCAAGGGTGGATTAGGGGCTACTTACTTCCTTAGTTACGGGATGTTAGAGGCCCCAGCCTGAGGGGCTGAAGGCAGGACATGGACATCCTAATGAGCTGGCCAAGGACCCCAGTCCTTAGGTGGGTAGGCACAGCTCTCCCAAGAATTCACACATGGGGCCCCACTGGTGGGGACATCAAACCATCGAACTCCTTGCAGAACCACTTTTGCTGTACAGGTGTGAGAGGAAGGAGATCCTGTTTCTTCTGAGGTTAGGCCCCCAACTTCAGCCAGCCTTCTCTTTAACAGCAGGACAAGAGCTGTGACTATTTGCCCTAAGGCTCCTGAAGGTCTGCTGGTCACAGGCAATCCTAGCCTTTCAGCTCTGGCAGCCGTCCAGCAAGGACGTTATAGTCTTCCCATGCTGAGATGCAGAGCTGGGCACTGCCGAGGGCTGGGTGTGGGCAGGTGGTCCTCATCCTCCCAGAATCATAAACAAATGCAGAGTACAACAAAAGCCACCTGCTACTTATTACCCTTTTCCTCCAAATCTCACAATCTGGATGCTGATCCTGGCAGCCACACGAGGGCTCCCCCTTCAAGAATGGACACATCAGAAAGCAGAATGGAACGGTTTTTCAACTCATGCTCAAGCCTGACCCAGTGGTTTAAGATTGAACCCGGGTTCCAGAAACTGAAAGGGCTTCCCAGGTGCTCCAGACCAGAAACCATGTGAGTCTCAGTCTTGCCCTGGGCTTGAAGGCTGTGGACCTAACCCGTGCAGTCTGCATACACATGAGCCTTGGGAAAGTTGAGATCAATGGGATGGCAGGTCCATATCTAATCTCTTCTCTGGAAGGGCAGCTTGGCTAACAGTCTGACCCTCTCAGAGAGCGAAGGAAGCTTGAGCCCATCAAGTGAGGCAGAACGGCAGGTTTGGCCAGCTGCACGCTCTCAGGAAGGGGCTGGCTAGCATTGTTGGAAGACTCTAGACTACCATGCTCAACTGAGAGTACCTTCTTAAGGGCCCAGCCAGGAGCAAGCAGACTAATAAGAGGAATGGAATGCAGAAGCAGGAGGGAAAGGAGTAGCCAGTGCACACAGTTTAGCCTGAAAGATGGTCTCTGCCAAGTCGGGACAGGAACTGCAGACAAGGGTGAGACTTGGAAGTGACACGCTTACAGTAAGAAAAGGAAAAGAATATATTGGAAATATAGTCTTATGGCAGGAGCTACTGTATCCTGAGAACTCTCCAAATGCATCATGGGGAAATCTCCCAAAGCAGCCACCAAAGCCCACTGTTAAACACAGCACAGACCTGCATGCTGGTGGAGGCGTTTTGCCAAAGCCTTGCTTACTTGGAGTAGAACAGTGGTTTTCAGACTGTTCTGTGGAACCCTGTTCTTCAAGTGGTGTTCCAGGGGTCTCCGAAATATCTGATTCACGAATACTTTTAACTCATTTAAAAAACTTGAATAAGACACACCACGTTCACATGTCTGATAGGCCAGCTTTTAACCTACTGAAGACCACCAACACATTAATTTGTGCTATCAGGAAAACGTGCCTTCCTTAGGCCCCAAGGAAATTTCTTCTGCCCTCTGTGGGGAAGTACCTGTACTCCCTGTAGATGTGTTAGGGAAGAGGACATTTTACTTATTTACTTAAATTCTGGACTGCACGTCGAATGCTTCTGTACGGCTCTGCAGGGGAGCATCCTGGGAGAGTTCTTATTCAGTGAGACCCCACCTCTCAGAGCAGCTCCCGTCGCAGACGGTCCTTGACGGGGGAACACTCGTCCGTGACATCACAGCACAGGTGGTGTCTGTGTTGACTGATGTCTGGGAGCTTCCAGCTGAGACGTATTCTTTACGAGGAATATGAACTGCTGTCAGGCTTGCTAGTGATTCAGCTGTTCACACAATGCCTACTGCCCCGCTTTAAGCTTCCAGCATCTAGATCATTTAAACTGCATCTATCCCGAGATTGCCAGGTGAGCTGTTGCAAAAACCTGTCACTCTTTACAGCAACTACGCCTATGTATCAGGATGTTCTCTACACTGTGCCCCAGGGATGAACTGGGTGCTGAGGCTTATGAGCACTTGCAGGTCTCTACTGTAACCTGTATTTTCAAATTTGTGTTTATTAACATCTTAGAGTAATTCTTTTTTATTTTAAATTTATAATTTGGCTTGTAAAAAGGGTTCTGCTGCTAAAAAACAAATTTGAAAACCACTGACTTTGAAGAAATTCTGGTTGTATATGTTTATTAAAAGGTAATTATCCAAAGAACTAGAAATTAGAATTTTGGCAAAATCCTATGCCAATCTTCAAAGGTCTATTTTTTCTGGCCCCGTGGCAGTCAGTGGCTGGAATAACGTGGGCTATTACAGAAATACAGAAGCACTGTCATAGCCTCATTCTGCATGGCAGCCGACAGGTGCAGGAGTGTTTACGGACCCCATCCGCCCCAGCGATGGAACTCCGCACCTCATAACCCTGTGCCCAGGAGGGGCAGATGTCTTCCTGGAGGACTAACGCTGTGAAACACAGGTGCACTGCCTGCTGAGCTAGCCTGTGCCATGAGAGCCACCCCTCACCTCCCATCTTGGCAGAAGGAATTTGTGGGGAGGGGTAAGAAGGAAGGATGATGGGCCCAGGCTCCCTCCTGATAATCTTCTGTAAGAAAAGAAAGCAGTGAGGGCAGGGCCTGGTCAGTCCCATTGCAGCCGGGTGCAGGGCATCTCTGGTGGGTCCAGGCTACCTTCCTCCAGGAGGTCAGGACTAATCGAGGAGGCCAAGTCAGAGCATGCAGGGCAGGGAGCAGAACAAGAATGCTGGGGAATACCACAGCTTCACTCGGGGTCCTTTTAGGTGACTAGAATCTCTACTCCTGGAGAGAGGTGCCAGTGCTTGCCTCGCACTCACACGTCCCAGGTTTCTGGCCTATTGACTGCTCAGGGTTCAAGTTTTTGCATTTCACTGGTGGTCTGGGCTTTGAGCAGTAAATCCAGCATCAGGTGAGGCACAAAAGCAAGAATATCACATCCTCATCTTTCTCTCCCAGCCCCTCTCTCTTCACCTGAAAGTCATCAATGAGCTGACTGTTAACTGCAGTTCCTAGGTCCTGAAGGGCCTAGAAAGGAGACCTACTTCTATGCTTGACCCTCGACGTCCCCCACACGGACTTCAGTCCTACAGAACCCCAGGAATTCATCTTGACTCCAGGGACATACCATGGGGTCGGCCCATTGGTCATTTTCCAGCAAGATCAGATGGCAGCAACTGGCCCCATTCCTGGCTGCCTCTGATTGGTTCTTCAGTTTAGAGACAGCCTGCTGCCAGGAGACGTACCACCCTCCCCTCTGCCACACCAGAACAAGGAAGTCCTGCAACGCCAGGCCACGCCATTCTTCATCTTCAGCCTCACAATGCGAATGCTGAACCTATAGGCTGGACTCTCTACAAAGAGATGTTTCCTCACCAGAGATGGGACCGAGACTCTGGAACTCTTGAGAAAGCAAACATCAGTCACTCCGTGCCTGAGTTGGGGCTACAGTGGGGCTGGCCCATGGTTTCAAGGTCCTGAACCAAAAAAGCTTCTCGGGCCCTTAGGACCAGGGATGACTCAGGTACTTCCTTGCTTTCTCTGCCCAACTGTGCTGGACCTACCCCCCAGGCTGCTTCGTGATGAGCAGGTGTGGCTGCACTATACTCTGAGCTCTTCCCCAGATGGCAGTCACCAGGCACATGGCCCGCATGGCTATCTCCCAGTGTCTGTGCCATGCCAGCTCACCATAGTCCCCGAGGCTCTCCACCCTGCCCTAAGCGATGGCCTCTGGGGAACAGAGCTTGGTTCACACTGGGAAACATGTGGGTTCTGCCCACAGGAGGTGGTGAGGGCTCTGCGGGGTGTGTTTCATCATGTGCTCTGTGCAGCTTGGGCAGGAGAGGAGCCCAGAGAGCTAAGAACAGGAGGTGGCAGGTGGGGAGCAGCCAGGGGCCCTGCCTGTGCAGTTCTGTGATGGTTCCTCATGGTACAGTCTCTCTCATTCCCAGTTATTTTCTTCTAGAGAGGATGGTGGGGTGGGACGCCCAGCGCTTGCCATGAGCAGGTGATGAGGACTGAGATTTCATCCTACAGGAAGATGGCAAGCCCTAAGACAGGGTGGAGGAGCAGGTCTGGCCTGGGGCAGTCCCAACAGAGTTGCTTTTCTTTTCCTTTCTTAACAGGAAGCCCCAAATCTCAGTGATGTGGGGACCCAGAGAATCCTGCTGGAAAAGAAGCTGAATTCCAGATGAGGTGATGCCAACCAGCCTACCACAGGGGGTGGGGGCTTTCCTTCAGGAACAAACTCCTCACAAAGGACACCCAGACAGTACCTGCCTCACCGCGGAGCGCCTTCTCCACAGCGACCCCTCTCTCCTCCAGCTGCCTCTGCTTCTCCTCCACCTGCTCCAGCTGCCGCTGGATGATCTGCGGGAAAACAAGACAGTAGAAGCACCCAACTTTTCCTCTTATCTCCCAGCTTTCAGGAGGACAGCTGAACTGCACACAGAGAGGACACAGACAGATCAGGTCACAAGTTGGAAAGGCTCAGTCAACGGGTGTGATGCCTTGAGTGCAGTGTGCAGAGCACCTGCATCAACCCCCAGGCCTTGTCAGCTGTGCAGACCCCAGCCAGTAACCAGTAAGCACCGGGTGCATGGCGGCACATCAAAGGGGGGACCAGCCCCTCCTCAGGGCAGTTCAAAGAAATCAAGTGGAGAGAAACTCCTGTAGGAAGGATTCAAGATCTTCAACCTAAGATCTTTCCGATGGCGAGGGTACAAAAACAGGAGCAGGGGCTCTTGGAGAGAACTGCAGACATGCTGTCTCTACAAGATAAAAAATTAAAAAAAAGATCTAGAATGGAGCCACAAGCCGGAATCTGGATGTGAGTGATGAGAAGTTTCTCTGTGCTACGTGGGACTGATGACCGACACCCAGAAGGATGTCCAACCCCAAGCAGCAGCCAATGATGGGTATCTGTGGAGAAGGTCACACCGGAAAGGAATAAAATCCAGGGAGCCAATCAGACACAGAGAATGGGGATAGAGAATAACGCACGAGAAAAGGACTAGAAGACTGGTGGTTTTTGATGTTTGATGAAACACTGAATTCAGAGGAGCATCCTCCTTTGTATTTGTATTTGCTGTTAATCCTTCTCATTGTTGTAGAGCTTTTGATTAGCATCCTCATCTTTAGGAATACAACTATATACACTCGACTTCATTTAAAAAAACATTGTATTTAGGTATCTACTAACACTTTGTATAAGGAAATTGTCTTTTGTTCAAAAACAAAATCTAGAGTGGTCTAGGATCTGAGAGGCTTGGAGATAGGCTGATGACTGGAGGGCAGCTGCGACGTGTAAATCCTTGGCCCATTGGAGGCTCAGGGCACAGACTGCCTCTTGGTAACAGTTCTCACAACTGAAGCAGCAGACTTTACAGGGTTAATGCAGATCCAGGAAGTCGGGAAACTCAGTGCTTGGGCTCTGCCCTTTCCGCCAACAGCTCCACAAAGTCGAGGCCTCTGCAGTTACATCAAGCCTGGGGCTTGTGGCCTGAGACTGTCCGCTCAGACAACGGGGACGCCCGTCTACCTCTGCTCTGCCCTCTTCACCCTCCCTCATCACTGATGGGGACAGGCAGGCTACAGAGGAGGATGCTGCCTGGGACTTTCCCATTTGTGAGTCGCGGCCCTGCCATCTGTGGTTTTACCTGGGCTCGGTGCAGCCGCTTCAGTTCCTCTTGCTTGGCCTGTCTCCGAGCTGCCTTCTGCACGCGGCGGGTCAGCTTGGCATTCAGCTCCTCCTCTGTGTAGGTTCTTGGCTGGAGAGAACAAGAGCATTCCTCAGGCAGGGCATGCAGGCCTGAGACGGGTGTGAGTGCTGGTTGGCAGGGCGTGGAGAGGACTGTCCCCTGCACTGGGGCTGCCTGTCCGCAGAGTGCCCGCTGGGTAGACGGAGGCATGAGTTGTGCGCAGACTCAGCCAGCGGCTCGGGGCACGCATCCCTGCTACAGCCCTAAATGCCGCAGGGAACACTGAAGATCTCCAAGTGAGATGCTTCCCTGCCAGGACAGGGATGGGAGGCTGAGTGGGGACTGACTATTAGGAAGTTAAAAGGACAAGGGGACATACACTCATTTATCACTGAGATCACCTGTTTCCCATATAAGGCTGTCTGTTCTTTTTAAGACTTTGTAGGGGTAAATGTATTAGTAAAATGTTCCCCAAGCCTCCTGCTTCTAGGAGGTGTGCAGGGAAAGGAAAAAGAGAAAAATCAGGGAACTTTTATTTTCTTGTTTGGTTTCAAAAGCCAACTCTCTTCAGATGAGTGATATATGATTCTTTTAAGAAGTAACATCTGAAATAGGAAAAACAGGGATGCTTCTATTTTAAGTCTGGTGAACCCCAAACCAACTCTACCATCTAAGGAAGGAGCTGTGGAGGTGAAGCCAGCTTGCCTCTGAGGTCTGCACAGAAGCAACCGCCAGCCCGGAGAGGAAGGGAGGAAGTGGTCTGGCAGGGCTGTTTCAGCCAGTGCCATCAAGAGCCGAGGAGGCGAATGACCAAACCCAGTGCAATTCTGCCTGCAAACATGGGCATGAAGGGCTCCAGGGAGGGTCAGACGCTTTGAATAAACACTGGGCAGCCAGTGAGAGGCAAATGTTGAGAGTCTGCCTCTTAGAAATAGAGGCAATTTGCCTCCTAGAAATTAAAGAAGGGAGACTTTTACAGACTTTAAAGGAGACTTTCAAATTTAACTCAGGAATATATCCTAATAACCTTTTTTTTTCCTAGTAATTTTTATTTTAAGAGCTCAAGTGATGGTAGAGGGCCAACTGAACAAGTCAGGGGTATCCTAAGCATTTCACCCTGCAGATCACAGAGCTGAGGGCTCAGGAACTCCCCATTCCTTTGGTGCCCACTCCCAAAGGGCAGCAGCCCTGTCCCCCAGGCACCTGGATCGAAATGACACATGCACTCCAGCCAGGGAAGAGCGGGGTATCTCCCCGTCCTTCTTGGTCATGATGCAGCTAGAGAGAGTCCTGCTGCCCGTGTCTGCTGCTGCTCCATGCACATGTGAACGCAGTTAGTGAGGGTGCGGCTGGAAGGCCAGGGCTGGGGGTTGCTCTGGTGGTTAATCACAGACATGCATGCAACATGACCAGCCAATGGGAACGAGACACTACCTTTGATGCATATGATCTCCTGAATGCCAAGGCGTGTGGCACATAAATCGACTTTTAAGGGGATGGCAACAGAAAACAAAACAGAATAGTAATAATAATAACAATTAAAAAATTAAAAATAGAACACAGAAATGGAGCAAAATCAGTTAGAAGTTTAAAACAAACACACAAGACTAAAACATACGATTATTTTGCACGCTGTCACGCACGACTGTAAGAGCAGAACCTGGGGTCAGGTCCTAGGAGAGCGCCTTAGTGAATCCAGGTTTTCAATTAGGCCTGGTTCACTTTTCTACTGAGAAGAAAGTTTCTTCCTCACTATGCCCCAAATCTTCTCTTTTCTCTTCTCAGTCTTCCTTATGTATAAATTAAAACTGCTGGGGATGCTATTTCTCCTTTAGTAACCCATTCGCTTGTGGAAATTCAGACCCCTTCTTCCAGCTGAACGCTATGGGCTATTGGATGGAGGCCAGGTGGTGGGAGATTCCTGTCACCAGAGACACAGACACAGAACAAACTGAGTGTCAACCCTCACATTCCCTCCAGTGGTCCTCTCCTGGCAGTGATCCTGAACAGGGCCAGCTGGGCTCCTAGTGGGCCACCTGGCAACCCTAGGACAGGGGGCGGGGCCATTTCTTCATTATATACAGTGAAAGGGACCTGAAATAGCATAAATAACTGATATTCATCAAAAACATTTCAGGCAGTAATTGTGACCTCTTCTCACTCCACTAAACCTTGAGCAGATGTGCTCAGAGAGCCACGGTTGGTGACCTCTGCTCTTCCAGTCCTCTCACCAGCCCCAGCAAACGGCTAAAAGGCAATAAGGGAGGGAGGGAGGAGGTGGTGGGGGTCTGGGTGCCCCCGGGTGGGGAGATTCTGAGAGCGTCAGGACCGACTGTGTGTCCCCGCTGCCCTGCTGCTCCCCCTGCTTCTGTGGGGCCCGGCCCACGGGGTACGCTGCCAGAGCAGACTGGCCCAGAGAAGACTGAGTTTCCTTCTGAGCAGCGACATTAACTGTGAACCCCTACACCTTGCCTCAGACTCACCCATCTCTCCCACAAACTAGAGTGAGAAGAACTTCATTATCAGAACAAGCCAGCTAAAAAAAAGTAGACAGACGCCTTCCCCAAGCAGTATGTGAGAAACCCCACAGGTACTAGGCAACTACAAGCTAAGGGGTCACCTGTAACATCTGTACTGTGGCCGGTGTAAAAAGTGGAGGGGGTGGGCAGTCATTTACCAATTTCTGGGGAGGGTACCAGCTTGGGAGAGGCCAGGACCAGAGGACCGAAATCATGACCTGTGCAGTGCGTCAAGAGTGGGGCCAGCCTGAGAGCTGGCGCCTTTGCGGTGAAGGCGGGGAGGGCCTGCCAGCGGGCCGATGCACGCGCTCTGGTGTGCAGTCAGACTGAGGCAGAGAACTGAACGTGAGTTATCTCTTACTGGTAGTGCTGCAGGTGATTTTTTTTTTAAAATCTGTATTATCTTTTCTATATAAACATTTTAATAAAAATAAGTGATTTTTAGTGGGTTTTTATTTTTTTTAATGAAACAAAACTCAGGCACTTGTTTTACAGATGCCTGACTCAGAGATGGGTCTGTGACACAAGAGGAACCATTTTTCCAGCTGTGCTGCCCTAGCAGCCTCCAGCTGTGGGGTCCAGGCACAGCTAGCAAGATGCTCCGTTCTGAGTAAATTCACACCTACTTCTGGTGTCTCCACTCCCCTCACTTCTTACCCTGAAAAATTTCAAACCTACAGAAAAGCTAAAAGAGGAGGACAGTGAACATCTGTATACCATTCACCTAGATTTGCTAAATGTTAGCATCTTGCCACACATTTGATATATATAATCTTTACATGTAATCACTTCTTTCTGAATCATTTGAACATATCACGATCTGTCATCCCCTCAGATTTTAGTGTGTACTTCCTAAGAACAGAGACATTTTCCTACATGACTACAGTACCTTCATCACTTACAAGGTACTTAGCATTAATGTGATAACGTTGCAGGTTTATGCACATTGTACCGCCCATGATCAAGTTTCCTTAAATGTTCCAAAGTGTCCTTTGTGGCTGTTTTTGTTTCGGTCTGTTTTCCTGCCTTAGCTTCCACGTCTTGAAAATACACGGTGCCTTGCTCTCACTCGGCCTGACCCCATAGCACAGTGGGGGTCGGGCAGCAGGTGTACGCTCGGCTTTGCCTTTAGCGTCCCTACGCAGCACCCTGACGGGCTCTGCCTCCGTGGGCGCACGTGGACCATGAGCCTCCCAAGGCCCCTGGTTCTGGGCTTCTAGGAGTGGGACTAAGACTTGTTTGTCTAGGTGGGGTGTGTGCCCCAGGCCTGCGAGGCCCTGGGAGGGGCTTTGGTCAGTGAGATATGTTGCTGAGCCCATGGCCTTGGCATAGCCAGCTCGGGCAGCCTGCCACTCAGAATTCTGCCAGGATGCTTCAGTAATTAATAGATAAACAGTGGAGAGACCTGACCACAAAAGGACCACAGATGGAAGCTTCTGACCAACACAGGATGAACTGGCTGTACATCTGCACATCTGCACTGAGAAAAAGGCAGGCTTGCACCACATTCTCCTTCTTCTCAGACTCCCTAGCAGTGCCAGTCTCCAGTGTGGGGAGGTTTAGGGACCCACACACATATCCAGAAGCAATTCTCAGTGCAGTGCTGATGCTCCCGCCTGGGCAGGCTCCACACAGAGCACTTGATGGAGCACATGAAGCCGGGTCCTCGTAGGGAGCACAGAGGAATCCAGCCTTAACTCAGTGCTGGCCTGGCTGGGACACGGGAGTCTGGCTCTGCAGATGGATGGGGTGGGGTAGGATGAGAGGTCTTACTGTCTAGGTATCCTTCTAGGAGAGTGGAGAGAGAAGGGGTCTCGTGGCGAAGAGAGACAGACAAATCAAGAATGAGATGAGAACTAAAAGACGGGTTTCCTCCAGTTTGCCAAGTTATTATTGGGAGGAGGGAGCTGGAAATAGGCTGCAGAAGTCACCTCTACTGAACGGGCATGAGAGGGCTCAGCCCTGCCATGGCCCTTCCTGGAAGTCAGCGGAGGGCAGACTCGAGTCCAAGCCTTTGGAAGCCTTGTGAAGAAGGTGCATGATGTTCTGGGAAAGTTTTCATTCAAAAAAGGGAGCTGAAGGCAGCTGGGCTGTCTCCTTGCACAGGAGGGTGTGCACATACCCCAGGGTTGGACAATGGAGACAGGCTGGGAAGGCTGCCACCGAGCTTCACCCACCCCTGTGAGCTGCTCGGCCTTCCTGCAGTCCCCACCCCATCACTGGCTCTGTGACACAGATGCCCTGTTAGAACTGTCCCTAATCCCTCTCCATCCTCCAACTTCACTGTGTCTGGACAAAGCTATAAGAGCCCTGGAAAATCAGAAGACGGAACAAAAAGAGAGGCTGGTGGGGAAGGAGCCTTCACACAGGGCTCGCTCTCAGGAGAGCCAAGTGAGTGGCCACACTGTCTCCCACACTGGGGGCAGCGAGAAGGGCCATGTCAGACCTCTGTCATGCCCTACTCAGCACAGGACCCAGGTCAGATTCCTGGACCAGTTCCTTGATAACAAAAGATGCTCTCTACTCCACAAACGCGCAAAGCAGGCAGGACAACAGGGCGTATGCCTCAGGGGCTCAGCCTCCATCGACCGTGCAGACCCCGAGCCCCATCCCAGCCTCCCCCAGACCCTGCGGCACGGGCGACCCTCCTCCTGTCACTTGGGCACTGTGGATGCTAGTGTACATGAGATTTCCAAGGACAAAAGAACTAACGAACAGCACCCGGCTGTTTCCTAGATGCAACTTTGGGCATGGATATCTGTCTCCTTCACAAGAACTGAACACAGGAACTCTTGCCATGGATGCAATAATTCCCAGCTATTCACTGAAAAAGCCCAAGAGGAGAGCTCCTTTCAGGCCTCTCTTACTTGGATCACTGGGCTGGGCTCAGGATTCAGCTGTCTGTCTGCTGGGAGACGAGAGGAGGGCGCTAACTCCCCACCCCTGGCCTGAGATCTGCTTCCCTGTCCTCCACCTCATCAAAAACCAACACTAAACAGAGCACAGGACCCAAGGTCCCTCTGACCCCTTTGGAAGCCCCACGACCAACGGGCCTACATACCTCTCGCCTAGACTTCTGGGAGGACCTCTCCAGGATGTCGTCACTGGAGAGGTCAGAGTCCTCCGAGAAACTCAGCTGGCGCCCGAGCTGCAGCCCTAAGGGGACAGAAAGAAGACGCCAAACAAGGATGGCGAGCAGCCCGTTAGCACCACGGCGCTGTCCCGATTTCTACATTCACAAGAGCAGCCGGGGAGAGGGCTGGAGGCCTGATCTCCTTCTAGTTTAAGTGATTTTGTTCCCATGATGGGGAGATGGAAGCTCAGAAGCTGACACTTGTCCTGGCACTGGTGGTTTAGAGCCAACACTAAATAAATGGTGCCCCGAAGAGAGCCTGCCGGGCACCTCCTTCAGCACTGTGCTCCTGCCTACTCCAAATTGGGCCCTCCTTTGGGGCAACGTGACCGTAAGAAGGGCACAAACCTCCAAGGCTCTCTTACCCGGTTTCAAACTTCCATCAAACAGAACATGCTCCCAACCCACAGTTAGGTTCCCTTTCCCCCACCCTGAGCAGAGCTCCCGAGAACCCCTGAGGGAGCAGCGTGGGGAAGGGGATCTTTGAGAAGAGTCAGATGAATGGAGAAGGCACACCTCATGCTCCGTCCCACGAGGGGCCCTCGGTGCTGACGTACCTGCCCTCATGAGAGGAGACATCCTGTGCTTGCCCGAGTCCACAGTGGTCCTGCTGGAAGGGGTGCTGGAGCAGGACTTGTCCTCACCCTTCTTCTTCTTGTCCTTCTTGTACCCAGAGAAGACTGACTTCCACAAGGACTTGGGCTTGGTGGCTGCTTCCTCTAGGAGGCTTGGGCTGGGCTTCTCCGGGGGCCGGCCCGCTCCTTTGGACTTCTTCTCTTTCTTGTTTCTGCGAGGGGAGAAGAGTGACGATCTCTTCTTGCTCTTCCCACTGGAGCCCTCAGATGAGGTGACTGAACCATCTGGGCCCCCTGAGTCCGATGGAGGAGAGAGGACCCCCTCACTAGTGGCTTCATGCTTCAGGGTGGACTCCTCGGGGCCTTTTAGCACTGGGCACTTAGGAGACTCTGGGCCGACTTCTTTGCCCTTGGAGAGCACAGAGGCGGCTCTGCGGGCGGTGCCACCGGGGGGCCTGGAGGTCCCAGCTGCCATCTCCATCTCCTTCATCCTACTCAGCTGCTTGGCCATGGCATCTCTCAATGCCTGGCTCTTGACAGACTTCTCCCTGGCTCGCATGCGCTCCTCAGCCAGCTCCTTGGCTTCTGGAGAGACTAAGGGCAGCCCCCTCTTCTGTGGCTGGACCCCACTCTCCTGAGTAGGCAACCTACCATTCTCCTTGGCTAGGGGTGGCTGGAGGGGCTTCTCAGAGCAGGACCAGCAGGAGGGGGGTGTGAAGAATTTCTCCTGCAGACTTGAGTCTTCAGTCTTGTCATCATACGTGTCTTCCACATCATCGGCAAAGGGGATCTCCTCCACACTCTCTACAAATGACTTCCGCAACTCCTCCTGGGGGGGCCGGGCAGACTCCCGGGGGGGACGCATAAAGGTAGCAGGTGGCAGAGGTGGGATCACTGAGGCCTTGGGCCCAGCTTCCTTATGCTCGTACCCCTGATACGGCTTCCCTTGAAGAGTGGCGGGCTCCTCGTCCGGAGGCGGAGGGGGGGGCGGGCTGGAAGGCGGAGTGAGCATGGTGGAGTCCGAGGTGTTGAAGCTCTGGCTGCCCAGAGTCTTCATGTTGGAGGAGCTTTCTTGAAGGCCCAGCCCGGAGCTGCTGGACAGGTCTCTCTGCTCCTCGTGGGAGCTCTTCAGCTGTCTGTCAGAGGGGGACTTGGGGGTCGGCAGGGAGGGCTGGTCACCATCTGACTTTGGCAGGCCCAGCCTCTTGGGAATAGGTGGTGGTTTTAGAAGATGGAGCCCCTCACCCTGCGGAGACTTCTCAACTGAATAGGACTTTGGGGACACTGGCTTAAAGGCAGGTGAGGGGAAGCTGGGCTCCAGCCCTTTGCTCCGATGTACGGGTGTTAGCCCAAGGCTGCGGCGGATTTCGGCGCTCTTCATCCAGAACTCTGCCACTAGGTCATTCCGTTTCAGGACCTCGTCCACAGCAAGAGGGCTACCCAGGCTGTCCTTGGCATCCCCTTGGTTCTTCATGGGGATGGGGGTCAGGGGGGTCGATGTTTTGGCTGGAACAGGCTGGAAGCGTATGGGGGACTTGGTTGGGGATGGGACAGTGGCCTCAGAGGAAGGCTGAGGCTGGGAGCAAATGGGGAGCTGGGTGGGGGGGGTGGAGGCGGCCAACGATGACAGGTGCTGCGAGCTAACTGGGGAGGTAGGTGTCCTGGCTTCCGGCAGAGCCACTGGCTGTGAGCGGATGGGAGAGGGCACCACTTTCTGATCAGTGGGTGCTTCTGCTCTGGGCTTTGCTGTGAGGAGCAAAGGCTCGGGGAAAAGGTGCTCTCCGGGCGATTTCCCGTTGGCAGCGGCAGAGGTGAGTGGGCTTTGGGCCCCCTGCAGAAAAGGAAGATAGAAGCTGCTCAGAAGGTAGGGTTTTAATGTCAGCAAAGATCCCTTGGGGCGCTCTCTCTCTCTCTCAAAAAGCCTGTGCTTCCTGAAATAAATTCCTCTCTCTGTCCTTTAAGCGATTAGTCAAACGGTTCCAGAAGAGCTTTTCTCACTTTCTGCTCTGTTTGTCCAATTTTTAGAACCACTCTCCTGAGTTGAACGGACTCAGCTTTCAGGGTTTGGTTCATCTTAAACACATCCTATATTCTTTGTCCACTGGAGTGAACACTGGTGAAAAGCACACTAATGAATTCAGCCCTCACTTCCCCACCATCAGCTCCCAGACTTCCAAGATCTCTGACGTACGAACACAGGGGCCAACACTGTAAGAAGATTTAAAATAGCCATCATTACAGTCTGTATTATAAATTGTCCTTCCCCAGAAGATCAGAGATCCAGATATTCCTGCACAAATCTTCATATCACCCCATCCAAGCACCTCGGCCAAGCCACCCATTTCACAGATGAAATCTCCAAATTCATCTTGCTGCTTAGAATCCCAAAGCCAAACCAGGCAGACCCATGTCTTGAACTCTGGCCTCCCTCCCTGATCTGTCCTCCAGACAGTATTTCCCAAAACGTGTTCCATGGGACATATTGTTACCATTTTTTACGTAGCATTCTCCAATGTGTGGTTCACACAACACTGGTAACCTGGATAAATATTTTTAAATTTAAAACTCATATTCATTTTAACATATTAACAAAAAAAAAACGCACCCATCACACCAAACCAGTGATTCCACAAATATTATCACTTTAATTTAAAAATAAATTTATTTTTAAAACAGTAGAGTATGTGGGCACCACAAAGAGTGACATGGTAGTGGGGTGACTCAAGTTTGGGATTGGTGCAGAGCAGGGTTAGGGAGACACTGCCCAGACTGCTGTCCCCATGGCAAGGACTGGGCTTGGAACCCCAATATCACTCCTGTTTTCAACAGCCCCGCTTAGCACAAGAAACAAAAAAAATGGGTTCACACTAAGGGCCCTAAGACGAAGAATTAATACGTCCACTCAGGGTCCCATCAGCTCTAGCCCACGGGGAGCCCCAAACCTTACCTCTGTCTCAGGGCTGTGCACTGGGGAGAAGAGGACAGGCTGTTCCTCAGGGGACCGAGTGGGGCTGGAGACTTGGGAAGGACCTGAAAAGAAACAGGCACAGGATTTACAGCAGGAGACCCCTCATTCCCACTGACGGCTCCTCTCCCAGCCAGCTCTGCAGTGGGGCCACGCTGTCAGCCAGCCACTGGCAGACACCGAAAGGAGAGCAAGGGGACTGTGATTTCCTGAAGCGCCCGTCTTCTCCCTCTGCTTGAGTCACGGGGGTGGCTTTTATTTATGTGTACGGTCTGTGTCCAAAGCTTCGAGGTCTACCTTCTACCCTTTCATAGCCCTAAATAACACACAGAGAGGGGCTGTTGGCCAAAGCCATGTGCAGGGCACGTGCACAGGGACAGGGAGGAGGACCACAAGCCAGCTGTCTGCCATCTGGAGGCTGGCGTGTGGCGCCCTGGCTCTGCTCTGACGGCCTGCATCCTTGGTGCCCCTTGCTTCCTCGAGCAGCTCTCAGCAGGATCCGGGAAGCAGTTTCTCCTCAACAACAGACTGACCTCTCTCTTGGCGCCTTGGTGTGGCCGGTGGTGGCTCCTCCTCATTTTCTGATACCCTCAACTCCAGCTCCGCCTCCACTGCTGCCTGGTGCTGCAGGCGCAGCTCCGTGTCGGCATCTGAGGGGACGTCATCAGACCAGTGCTGATCTGGCAGAGGGAAGGGGGAACACGGAACTTGAGCGAGGCCATGCTCATTTCCCAGGCTCCTGTCCTCCTCAGAGAACAGCCCCATCAGCTCTTCAGCTGCAGTGCAATTGCTGTGGTCGGGACCCAGCTCTGCATCCCAGCTGGGCCCAGCCCACTGGTCCCACCCAAGCTTCTGACGGACGCGCTGAAAGCATGTTATCCTCTGAACAGTGTTCTTGTTAAAGCCTGCCGTGCTGCCTTCTTTTTAAATACAGCCAGGTGACACATGATGGGCCACAACAGAAAGAAACATGTGGTGTTTCAGGAGGCCCTGCCTCTGGGGACGCACCTCCCGGCCCAGCGCCCCCAGTGCCACAGTGGAGGGCTGTGCTCCCTCACACTCTTGCCTGGACTGTTCTCATTTCTCCCAGCTGAGTCTCTGCTCCCCTTTCCCCAACCAACCAACCAGACTATAATTCTCAAAATACCATCTCCTTGTTCCTAACTTTCACAGCTACAAATATAAAGCCTCAGATTGGCTTGTCTCTCAACTACAACTTAACGAATATAGGCCATGTCAAATGGTGGCTTATGGGTGGGTGAAATGACACACACTCAAGTTAATGGCAGAACAAGGGGACAAACCAGGACCCAACAGCCACCTCCTCTGAGCTCCTTGCTTTTGCTTTAATGTGTATTGTTGACGTATTTCCTGAGTTCAAATCACTCTGACCCTGTCCCCAGTGGGGAATAGGGTGGTCACCATGGGGGAGACGGTAGGCTCTGGGGTTCCCCGTACCATCATCCAGCTCAGCACCAGTGTCCCCTGTGTCCCCATTCTCTGCTGCCTCCCCTTCTATCTCTGCCGGCTCCGAGTCCACATCTTCCTCCAGGTCATTCTCATCAAATGGAACTGTAAAGCAGAAACATTCAAAGAAAGGAAGAAAAGGAAAGACAGACCAACAGACGGACTGCCTTTGCAGGCGGGAAAGCGGTAGTGGTTTTCCCAGGCTGTAATGTGCATACCCTTAGGAGACATGAGAAGGCAGACTCTGAAGTTTCTGGATTTGGACCCCAAGGTGGAAGTCAGTCAGCCTTGGGGGGAAGCTTCTCAAAGCAATGTTGGTGCTGGGGAGGCCTGGACCTTCCTGAACACGAGACTCGCTTGTCTCGACTCGAGCAGGGCTGACTAGAAGGGAAGAGCAGCTTAAGGCCTGGTCGTCTTTCCTCCTCCTCCAGAGGCTGCCATAAGAGCCCCCCTCTGAGAATGACAGAAGGAAATGCTGATTCTCCAGGTCCAGGCCCAGCAGGCACCAGCTGCAAATTGAGCAGCAGTCATGGCTCATATGCCAGACACTGTGTTGACTCTTCACAGGCCGTCAGTCAACGAATCCTCATAATCACACCATTAGAAGGAACGTTTCCAATTCCTATTGTTCAAAGAGAAAACTGAGGCCCAGAGAGGTTAGGTAATTTGTTCATGGCCACAGTCCTCAATCTGGTGGTTGCAGTGTCGTCTGTCAGTGAAATCACTGTTGGATAGTGACCCACCGAACCCCTGAGGGCACCATAGCTCTACTCTTAACTGACAGACGGTGCAGCCTCGCCTGGACCATTTAGAGAAATACTTTCTTCAAGTATAAGGGAGAAGGATGAGGGAATATGTAAAGTTCATTTTCTGGGCTCATGACTAGCTCTTTAGTGCTGCAAAATGAGGCAAAGCACAAATCCACTTCATTTCTCCTGTGGAGGAACCAGCCCCTAAACACACACACACACACACACACACGGACTCTCACGCCTGCTCCCAACCTCTGCACTTAGAACTCACACTAGCAGTATAGAGCCGGAGAAGGCACGTAAGAAAGCAACGAGCACCGCTCTGAAGGGTGCTGTCAGACCAGTGTTCCCGAGACTAACAGCACCTGCTCGTCAGGGGTCCTGAGGGTTCTTCTGGAGCTCTAAGCAGAGCCACCCTCAAATCATTCCAAAAGGTTTTCATTTCAGGAAAAAGGGTTATGCCCTAATTTGCATACACAAGAGCCTGAGGATCGAAGCCCAAGGGACTGCAGGCCACAGAGGAATCGACTGTGGCCCAGCTGGCTTAAAAGGCCATGCTGGAATTCGAGAGGACAGCCCACGTAATGACCAGACCCTCTACAGTAAGTGTCTCCTCACAGTCCACCCTCATGAATCTGCATCCCAGGCACCTTAAGGATGTGCAGAGTGAGTGAGGCCACCGAGGCCAGAGTACAGTCATGTGTCGATTAATGACAGGGACACGTTCTGAGAAAGGCATCCTTAGGTGATTTCGTCATCATGAGAACATCACAGAGTATACTGAAGGGGAACAAAATTTGCCACCCCAAAATGTGTCTCTTTAACATGAGCATTATTTTAGGATGATTATTTTTAAGGAAAAAAAGACTCAGAAAGTGCTTCTTGTTACCTACCCCTTAACTGCCTAGAAGAACTCGGATAAAAAAAACCTGTCTCAGGAAGTGAGACACGAACTTAGCATCACACTATCACACTAACAAGGTGGCAGTTACATGAGGTTTGTTTTTGTTTCAAATAATTCCTTAAGCTGTATATCAGCTTATTAAAAATAAAGTGATGGTTCACACTAGTTTTGAGGAACCACACGATGGTTTGGAAAGGACTAGACAGTCCAGGTTACGGGGAAAGACGGGAGAGCTCCAGAACGAGTTCTATGCTGGAAAAAAGTTAATGTCGCATTCGTCCTTTTGAGATGCCGGAGGGGCCCATGGAGCTGGCAATGCCGAGGAGCTTTCCTACGACGATGGCATTTGTGGGACAATACTGGGGGGAAAGCGACTTGATTATTTCCACAGGTTTAAGACCTTTGTGTGATGACATTGTTGGTCACTCAAGGAAGTCAGTTCATCACACAGCAAGGAGTGGGCCCTCTGAGGCATAACCAAAAGCCCCCTGCCACCTGAGCTTTCTGGTGGATGGTGAGTTCACTGGTGCGCTACACCACTTCTGAGCCAGCTGAGCAGGCGCCTCTCCTCCCCTCGGATCTTTCTCCTTTGGCAGTCATCCCAACCCAGCAGGAACAGAACCTGGGTCCATTCTGTGAAGAAGGCCCACTGTGCCTGACACATGTGCTCAAATGACCTGTGAGTGCCTGGATATTGAAAAGGAAATTTTACATTTTTGTTGGCAAGTACACCGGAAGCAAGCACAAAGGAGATCAGGACAAAGGACTCCCCAGTCTGCCATGGTTCAAGGCACACCACGCTGACTACCCTGATTCCCGTCTGGCCCCTTGGCCTTCACATGGTTCTCCTACTCCGAGTTTCTCCTAAGAAATGCCTGCTGTAGAGTCAGAAGGGTAAGAAGTCTACAGTCCTCGGGAGTACCTTGAAAGGAACAATTGTCATATATATCAAAAAACAAATGACAAACATGAGTGCAGCAGCAGCAGATGTTGAAAGAGACGCAGCTTGAGGGATGGAACTGGGGGATTAAATCCAGGTTAAGATGGAATGCAGGGTGCTAGAAGCTGCCACACACTATGGAAGCCAGGAATCGCTGACATACTGAGCTTCTGGTTTATTTCAGCTGCTAGCCAGGAAGTCCCGACACCTCAGCCTTGTCCAACCTTCCCGGGCATACGAACTAACTAGGGGACGGTGACCAGCAGTTTCTCTTCACAGAGCCAATGGCCTCAGGTTCGGCTCTCCCTACAGCACAGTGGGAAGGCCCCTCCTGACCTCAGCTTGCGTCCATTCTTCATGCTGTGCATGAGATGGTGGTAAAGATCCATGAGGTCCAATCCTGCCCACCCCAGAAGTCACTGCTGGGACAGTGGTGCTCAACCAGGGGCAAGACTGCCCTTCTTCAAGTGGTATCTGACATTGTAGAGAGGCATTTTTGGTTGTCTTAATGACTGGGGTGAGAGTGGAAGCTACACTATTGACATTTAGAGGGCAGAGGCCAAGGACGTTAAATGTCCTGTAACGGTAAGAATGTCCTGCCCCAAGGCCAGCAGCCCTCTTGTTGAGAAACACCTCTCCAGAAAAGTTTAGGAAGGACAACTAAGGTTTCTCACTTACCTCTTGGCCTAAGTACTTAAAGAGATGCCTTCACCTGGTCTGAAGCCATAGCTGGTGCTACACCTGGTCACCCCCGCCTGTCCTGCCACTTTCAGCTGAGCATCAGTCCACCAATGCTCTGCTCCCCTCTCTTCACTAATAAGTTTTCCATAAGTCCCCCCCTGAGTATTGACTGTCTCCTTCTCTGATATTTTGGTAGGTTTGTGGGATATTAACTGATTCCTCTACTTTCATGCCCAATTGCTACCCAGTTTAATTTCTATAGACTTTAAATCTCAGTGCTAGAAATGTTCCTTTAGCTTTGGCCTTTACCCAATCTGTTAATAAAAAAAATTGTTTGTCTCTGTCCTGTCCACACTATTGCTTTCCTCTGGGTCTTCCCTGAAGGGCGTGGGATGCGTGTCTGGTCCATGCAAGGACGGGCTGCCGGAGGGAGGCATGCACGTGCCCCTGCCCTCCACCCTCGCATGCACTAGCGCGGACCGGAGTCTAGTGTTAGGTACCAGCAGAGCTGCTGAGAGAGCGGTTACAGTGAGTGGGGGGAAGAAACATCACCAGACTACCTCGGGAGACCGTCTCCAGCCAGGCCTGCACTGCTGCGCGGCGTATGGAGGGAAGGCCAGGCACTGAATTTAAAACAGACGATAAATAGAGTTACACAGGAATAAGCGTTGCCAGTTGGGAGAGTAGAGGTCATCCCTAAAGTCCAAAACAGAAGAGAAACTGAGACAACGTTACAAGCCAGAGGCCCGTCCGGCACCGACGAGGGCCCACAGTCCTGTGACCTGTGATGGCTGTTCAGGACGAGGAAAGGAGAGAGAAAACACAGCAGTGTCGACCTCAGCTCAAGGCTGCAGAGCCATCCCCACTTTGCAGGCCAGTCTGACACCCCTGGTCAACAGGCTCTCTTTCCTCGACTCCTGCAGAGCTGCTGGCTGTTTAAACTGCTGCAAAAGTAGTTAACAGAGGCTGGTCTTGCCTATGGTGAAAATTTGGGGCTAGGAGGATCAAATGTTTCCAGTGAAGGCCAAGTTTCCTGAAGGCAGGGACCACCCCCTCTATATGCTCAGAACCTCGCCAGGTGGTGGCTCAACATGCACTGATTGGAAACATAAAGATAAGTGAAAGAGAGACAGAAGCTGATGACACCAAGAATCCGTATTTGGAAGATGGGGACACCGGGGTGGGAGGGATGAAGAATGACATGACAGGCGCCACATCCCTCAATAGACTCCATTTTTTTTCTTTTTCTTTTATTGCTATTCCTTAAAAGAAGCCAGAAAGGTTCATCTTCATCTTACTGTGGATCATCTGTAGATGTTCTGTAGATCATCTCACCTAAAACCTAGAGCTGGAAATTATGATAGCTACTTAGAGGGCTCCTTGATATAAATCTCTTCTAAAACTTCATTTCAGTTCAGAATATGCTCCCCCACCCCGATCCTGCCAATGCACATTCACACCCAGAAACACTCCATGAGGAAAGCACCGGACATTTTATCAAGTGGAGAGAGAATAACGCTGCCTAGCAGTATGGGGGAAAGAAAGCAAATTCCTGGTTTTCCCAAGGTCAAGTTATTTTACTATTTTCCATCAGTGGAGAACGAGCCCATACCCTCTTAACCCACAGAGAACTTTACATATTCTCAAATGACAGCAAAGGGCAGTGGTCATGATTAACATCAGGAAAATGAAATGTTCTGTTGGCTCTTACTTTTGCTCAGACTGATGGTTGCGCCCTAACAGAAAAGTCCTCTGCAGCACCGAGATCGGGAGCAGGGACAGAAGGTGCTCCTGGGGGCATTGGGACCTCGGGTCTTGAAGCAGTTACCTCTAGAAGTAGAGGACTCAGAGGTCGGCACCATTCGCTCTTCCTCCTCTTTCTCATGAATATGCGTCCAGTGCACATCAGCCTGGATCTCCAAGGGATCGGCTGGATTCATGATCTGCTGTAGCCTGTGGCTCCCGGCTAGTGTACCAGATTCAAGGGGTGGAGGAGATGAGAAAGGGAGAGATGATGGGGAGGAAGGAAGGAAAAAATAAACAGTCAAAGGAAGAGGCAATGACATATCACAGGAAAGGAAACAGAAATGAATGTTACAGTATTTGCCAGGATCAGTTTGAATCAGAAAGAGGCAGAAATTGAGAATATGCATACACACACGCACCAGTGACTTCTTGTTCAACGTGATTCAGCCATTTCAAGCTTCACATATACTGTTAATTTCAACCAAGAGAACCACACATTCCAACTCCACTGCAGAAAGAACTTTCTTTTCTGATGCTCTTTTCATCTTAACTGCATTTGAAGGACCCAAATGTCATGTTAGGAAAAAAAAAAAGCAGGTCACAACCGGCCTCTGAAGGGCCATCCCTGCGGAGGACACACGTACTCAGCTCTGTCACCCAGTGCGGCGTGAGCTTCTGAGGACGCACCATTCACGTCCCACAGCACAGCGCTTACCACCAGCTGCCATGCTGACAGCTTCTCTTTTGAGATTTAAGCCAAGTGACAAGATGGAGGTGGGATGGGACAGTGTCATTGCCATGAACCAGCCAATTCAAACCGGACAGTAGTTTATTTTGCTGGTACTTTGGTTTTTATCTTCTGCAGCTAGACAGAAAACACTCCCCCTTTCATAACAGGGCTCATGCTGCATGCTGGTCTGTGGCAGGGACATAGCTATGAGGAGAGGACGGCGTTAGGGGAGGCAATGGCTGGGAGAGGAAGCAGAGCTCAATCCTATAAATTCCCAAAGCTTTGGGAGTTCATGGGTAGGAATAAGACAATACCTCTGCCCTTTCTGAGGTCAAAGCCCTTTTCCTTAAACTCCATTTGGTGCCCTGTTGATCCCCTCTGGACACAGGAACTGGTTTCTCAGCTAAATGAGAATGCACCAGTGGCCCCTTCCGATTATTCTTGCTGTCAGAACCCAAGGAATCTGCATGCAGCCCCTGCCCTGTGGGCACCCTATAATCTGTGCTTGGACCACACCATTCAGTTGGGTTAAAATAAAGGGACAGCCAGCAACTTAGGGGGAAGGGGATGCTAAGGGAAGGAGAGTGGCTTTTCAGGCAGCAAGAGCAGGTGCCACCTGATCTTAAGGACTCTGGGGTTCCAGACAGGAGGCTGCTCTCAACAGTTTAACTGGACAATCTGGCTTTGGCTTCATCACTATAATTACAACCTCTTAACTTCCAAGCAGCAGGGAATGTGACATGGGCAGAAAGAACAATGAGACCACAAACGTGGATGCGACACTATGCTCTGTCATGCGTGGTGTGGCAGTGTCCCTTTTGCGCTCCTGTACCGGAGCTGCTGGGCTCTGTAGATTCAGGGACTTTTTCTAAGGTGGGTTGGCCTTATGGTGCTGGATGAGGCCGAATCACAGCAAAGTCGCGAAACAGCCTGACCGTCTTAGGACTGAGGAAGATAAGTCAAAGAGAAACAGGCCCTTTCTTCACCTTCTGAGCAACAAATGGAAGAGAGGGAGTCTTCTCCCTGGGTAACGTTCTGCTTTCTGTAACAAATGCAGCCATGGGGACTTATCAGCCAGCATCTCCTCCTTTCTCAGAGAAATGTTAAAAGGCACAGCGGAGGCAGGCCCCGGGCACCTGTGCTGGCTCCACCACTTCTGAGAGCTGTGAGGAGATGTGAGGTTCTCTGCCCTAGAGAAGAAGCCGAGTCTTCACTGGATGAGGGGAACTCACAGCAAAACATACAAGGTGCATGGCTGGGGTCAAACTCAACAGTCTGCTTATGGAGTCTTCTCTAACTTCCTCTTGAATCTCTGCCTCACATGCTATTTTGTACATGACTGTCCAAGAAGGCTGGGCCCAGCTAGGTATATGCCACAGCCTGTCAGTGCAGCTTTATAAAACACAGATCTTTTCATGTGGGACCTGCTCTTGGAGACAGATTTCAGATGGCTGCTGGGAGCCAGGGTGAAAGGTGGGCGAAGGGCAGAGAGGGTACCTTTACATGTACCCGTGTCTTCTTCTTCTGACAGATGCTGGAGCCACTGGCCTTGCCGGAGTTCTCTGTCCCAGGGGCAATACTCCCCTTCTACAGCAGGGGGAGCCCGACACCCATAAACACAGCATCAAGAATCCCGCGTGGGGATGAAGGAGGGAAAAGAGAATGGAGGGAGGAAAGAGAATAGAAAGGAGAGTTATGTTCAGCTGCAAGGCAGTAACATCCTGCCACTGTCTACACAGGCATCAAAGTCCACTGCCCAAAAGACACACATGGCGGGCTAGGAACAAAGGCCCAGGGTCTGGCTGAATTTGTCGGTCTGTGTTTCTCTAGTTAAAGCCTGTTCCCTTGCAGGTTTGGTCTTGATGCTAGTTCCAGGACCAGGGAACACGTCAGGATGAGGGAAAGTGGGGCTGACCTCACCTGAGAAGGTAAGGCTTTGACCATGCACTGTGTCTGGGGATCTAAGTCACTGAGCACACGGATCATCACGTGGGGACAATGAGGTCTGGAATGATACAAACTATCTTCCTTCCCTGGGGTGAGCTGTGAGCACGACCACCTGACAGGCAGGCCTGCGGTGGCAGCCACAGCTCTGGAGACAGCAGGATGGAGCAAAGAACCCAGGGCAGCAGATTCCCAGCCCAGCGCCTGCTTCCTTCTTGCACAGACCTTGCTCATTTCTCACAAACCAGAGTGAGGAGGGAGGGGCAGGCCACCAAGTGCTGCCTCGGTGGGCACCACCCCAGCCTCCGTCCCAGGAGGGAAGAGCAGGAAAGCCAGGTCTTCAGGAGCTCCTCAGGGAGCCTGCAGAAGGGCCCTGCCTCTGCTGTGCACTGAGGCGCACCACAGGCTCAGGGGGGCCACGCTTCTGCTTGCCTGCTCTGCCGCTCGCTCGGGGCAATGTCACGGGGCCGCACCACACCGGAGGCCCGGCTCTGTAACATGCACCCTGTCTGGGAAGGGCTTGGCACCTGGTCATGCTCAGTCCCTGCTGTGCCAGAGAAAACAGACCCTGGGATGGGACTGGGCAGCTGAGCACATCAAATTCCAGGGAGAGCAGAGATCAGCACGAAGAGCAGCAGAGCAGGCTGGTGCCAACTCGAGGCAGCCCGGGCGGGCCAGGGTTTAACGCTCTCCTCTGACTAACGGCTGGCAGGAGTTGGCGCCTACAAGGCCCACATCCTCTTCCTCCACTCCGTGGTCGCTGCAGAGTGAGCTTGGCACCATCCTCGGGAATTCAGGTCTCTCCCTGCCCTGGTTTCTTCCTCACCACCCACCTTACCACCCAGATTTCTGTGCAGCCAGGACAGGGAAGGAATGACCTTCTCTCCACATAGGCAAGAGAAGGAGGCCCATCAAGTCCTTCCTCATCACTCAAGGACACACAGAGGCAGACAGGGACAGAGCTGAAATATCTCAAGTCCAAGGCAAGAGAGCATTTCACAGCCAACCACACCGACTCAGTACTGGAGGCAATGCTCTTCTCAGGCACTGGTCCCAACACGTTACCATGTATCACTGACTGCAGCCTGGCCAACAGGCGCACAGCGCCCTCCTCAGTGCCGACAGCTGAGCAGATATGCGACTCAAGGCTCTGCAGCCTCCACTGTCCAGGACTAGAAGTTGGGGAATCCTTGAGAAAGCTAAACTCCCTTTCCTTATTACAGTAAGTTTCTTAACTGAAGCTAACGGGAAAAAAGAGAGAAAACGAGAAGGAGAGAATGAGTAACCTAACTGGGATGAAGTGCTCGCACTGGCCCTCTGCCTTCCACATCCCATTTCCACTCAGGGCGTGCACCAGAAGCCTTATCTGCACTGTCGCTGGTCTCCAAGGTCAGAGAGACAGGAGGGATGTCTCTGGGCTCTGTGGGAGGCACGTGCCTGGGGCTCGAGCCACAGGAACCTCGCACACTCAGCCCTCTCAGGGGCGGGTGGGCAGGCTGGGGGCGCGAGAAGAGATTTTTTCTGACCTTCACTAGACTCTTCCTCCTCCTCGTCATACTCCTCCTCCTCCTCCTCCTCCTCGTCCTCCTCCTCCTCCTCGTCCTCTTCATTCCCAGGCTCGTAGCTCTTCGAGGCCTCCAGTTCCTCTTCACTCTTCCCTTTCAGAAGAGCATGGATCCTCACAGCCTCCTTCCAAGGAACACCGCCCAGGTCCGAGGTGGGCAGCGGAGGCTGCTCCTCCTCCTCGTCCTCCTCCTCGTCCTCCTCCTCCATTTCAGACTCAGAACTGCTGTGGGGAAACAACCACCAGCCAAAGTGAGGGACGACAGAAACCGAGAAGGGGATGGTTGAAGCCACAGCCAGGGCCGAGTGTCCCTGCCGAGCGCCTGCCTGGCCCAGTGTGCTCCCTGCCCAGGTAAGACACACGAGGGGATGGAGAGAGTGACGGAGGGCAAGAGGGACACTCGCACATGCGTCACCCAACAGGAACCCGTGTGTGCACAGTCTGGTGGGGTGTCCTGCTTGGTGGACAGCACCATCACTGAGTTCAGGCTCTCAGAGGCCCTCAGTCTGACAGAAACTCAGCCTGGGAACAGAGAACGGAGAGAAAGCCTCCGCTCACAGGGATCCACTGTTTCGTCTAAGGAACTCAGTTCTACTTGATGCAGGTGGGTTGGAAGGCTCTCGTGAGAACCATGGCAGGGAAGGAGGAAACACCACCGAGAGGCCTACACTGAAGTCTTAACCACAGATGCGGGCAGCCAAGTGCGTGTGCAGGAGGGAGGTGCATGTGCAATTCCACGGTGTCCCTGGAGTCCTCTGAGCTGGATGCTGTGGGGACACAGGGAGTGTGGCAGCAAAGTCCTGGCTCACCACAAAGTGACAGGACAGGGACCAGGGGAAAGGCTGGAGACAACTATCCAGCCCGGGGCTGTTGCTCTTGACAATCAGCTGCATTTCCCACCACTGTTCCCTTCGCAGCCCACAGCCTAGTTCAGCTTGAAACAGGAAGCAGCGCTACATGCGAGGAGAAGACCCTGGCCAGGACTCACACAGCCAATAGCACGGATGCCCCTGCTAGGCGACACTCTGGAGCATTCGACCCTCCTCCCCTGCCCTGCAGAGAGAAGCAGTGCAACAGACAGTATGTGCATGACACTCGCTGACCGAAAATGCTGTCGGGTTCCAAGGCAGGAGAAAACCCCAAACATCATTGCACAAACAGACAAGTTTCTCAGACCCTGTTCATGGTCTGATAATTCCCCGAGTCTTTCTCAGGAGAGGCTTTGCCCTCAGAGAAGCGTGTAGTTGACTGGGCTGGAGGAAATTTGGCTTTCACAATAAACGCAGTCCAACCTCTGGCACGATGCAGCCTCACACGCCGGACATGTCAGGCACGGGGGGCTGTCCAGTCCCGACTTCCTGTGATTGGGGGTGTTCTCCCCTCACCCAGAGCACGGCTGTGTGTGAGAGTGAGCAGAACACAGTGCAAAGGGACAAAGATGCCTCACGACCAGTGCTACTGGTGCCTGTGTAGTAATGAATTTAACCTTACTCAAAGAGACGTCTGGCCTTGGTCCTTGGCTTCTGGGAGGTCAACTCTGAGTGCTTGGAATGCCTTGCCTGACGGGAATGTCTCTGTTTCCCTGGGGGCCTTGGGTCATGGTGGGTGGTCTAACTGTGATTTAGGGTGAGGGCTGGCCACATCAGTAAGACTAACCATTTAGGGTGGGGGCTTTGGGTCATGTAGTATCAGCTGATCTGGAGACTGAGATCAACCACAACCACATGGGCAATCAGTCAGTCAATCAATCACTGTCTAGGTAACAGAGCCCCCAAATAAACTCTGGACACCAAGGCTTGAGTGAGCCATTACCCGTGGTTATCACGACACATTAATCCCAAGACAGTAACGCTGTCCCGACTCCACAGGGAGAGGACACTGCCCTCCGCACTTCTTCACTCGCTGATTGTATCTGGTACACTTTCCCTGCACTCCAACCACAACCCCGAGTCTAACACATTTCATTGAGTTCTGTGAGTCTTTCTAGCAAATCAGCACACCTGAGGGTGGTTTTGGGCACTCCTAAAGCTGGGTTCCTGAGCGTTACTGTAAATATTCAATAAGAACATGACTGCCCTTCGACCTTTTCAACCTTGTTCCCAGCAGAGACACAGATGAAAAGAAGTTAATCTTGTTAATTTGCTGTCTTCTTGTTTAACCTGAGGGGTGGCTCAAGGATCACAAGGACTTATGAGCTTGTTTTGCAGAAGAAAAGAAGCCTTTAAGGAGTTAAGGTCACCAGGTAGCCAGCCCCCAGCCGCTGTTGAGGCCTAGAAGTCCAATTTCCCAAGGGCTTATCTGGAGTGACAGAAACATAGATTTCCCCTGTTTTCTCTGAAACTCTTCCTGCCAAGCCCCCTTAGCTCTGTAAAGGCTCCCTGCTTTCCTCTTTCGTTAAGGTGGATTTGAGAGAACCTACCCTCCCACCTTCTCGTTCGGGCCAGTTTGAATAAATCTCTGTCCATCTCCAGGCTCTGGTGTCTCAGTGATTTTCTTATTGCGCATCAGGCACAGGAACTTGGGACTAAGAAGTTCCATGTCACTCCCACACTTCAGGTGGGTCAGAGAGAGGGCAGGGGCCAGCCCCGTGGCAAAGTGGTTAAGTTCTTTCACTCTGCTTGGATCCCGGGCATAGACCTAGTATCGCTCAGCAAACCATGCTGAGGCGGCATCCGACACAGCAGAGCCAGAAGGGCCTTTAACTAGAATATACAACTATGTACTGGGGTCTTTGGGGAGAAGGAAAAAAACAAAACAAAACACAAAAAAAGAAGATTGGCAACAGATGTTAGCTCAGGTGCCAATCTTTTTTTAAAAAAAAGGAAGTGAGGGCAGTCTTGTGGCTGTAATCCCTTCTACTTCTCAGGTGGCCACTTCCTCACAGTGCCACCTGGCTCTGCTACTTACCAGCTGTGTGACCCCGAGCTGATTATCTATGCTCTCTGAGCCTCAGTGTCCTCATAAGGAGGTCATGGTAATACCCACCTTGAGGGCATGTTGTGAAGATCAGGGATTACCAGCTGTGTGACCCCGAGCTGATTATCTATGCTCTCTGAGCCTCAGTGTCCTCATAAGGAGGTCATGGTAATACCCACCTTGAGGGCATGTTGTGAAGATCAGGGATTTTATTGATTTTTATCGTGCTTGTGTCACACTCTGGGACTCTAGCTGTTGATTTATCTGTTGACTCATTTACACATTCACTCATTCATTCAACAAACATTTCTGAGCACCTACTAAAGCTCAGCCAACACATAGAGAAATAAAAAGAGCCAGCTCCTTACTGTGAGCAGCTCAGTTTGGTGAATCTTACTTCATTCATTCACCCAACTAAAATTTACTGAGCATCTTCTACATACAACGTGCTTCCTAAACACTGTAGGAAATACAAGGGTAACATACAAAAGATCCTCATTCCCAAGGGGAGATCAGATGCAAACAGGCCATGATAAAATAAGGTGGAACGTAACTACAGTGTGGTGGGGGGTTGGTAGGAGGCAGTTTAAAGTGGCAAACATAAGAATTTCGACCACGGAAAGCTTGGCATCTGGATTTTGATTATTTTTCAGTGTTTACTTAGGTATTATTTTTGCCTTACCTTCGTGATTTCATTTGTTTTCTTTCTTATTAATTAACAAGGTGTAACCCAAATGTATGTCATTTAACATTGTTCAAACGTGAAATAAGGGTAAGAATGCCTCCTATGCTCATCTTAATTTACGAACTTAAACTTAACTTTCTAAACCTTCAGGTGGGCAGATGAAGGCCAGCTTGTCCTTTCTTCACAGCTGAGCACACAAGGTCACCCCAGTAGTCAGCGGGCAGCAGCTTCTGGGGAGAGCGGCCTCAGTGCAGCCTGCTCCTCATCCCGTGCCACGCCACGAGGACGGCCGCACTGCGCATGATGTGGGCGATGAACACCCCGGGATAGGGTCAACGAGGCCCCACTTACAGCTCTGAGAGCCACACTGGCTCGTTTTAGGACAGCTCAAGGGCCATGGAGAATAGCAAGTGAGGCAGAGAACATACAAAACAGAGTGGAAAGGTCAAGCCTTGACTCTATTCATAACCTACAAGCTCTGACTCCGTTTCTGAGAGGCCTTCCTACACGTTTCTGGAAATGTGAGACAAGCAGACTGGCCTCCCTCCCTTTGGGAAGGAAAGAGAGACACTGACACTGACAGGTGTTGCCGACTGTCCCTCTCCAGGCCATCACTTCCATGGGACCCTGGAGCAGTCCTCTGGGTCCGGCCAGGCCCCTTAAGTCACGCAAGATCTGCAGTGTAAATTGAGTACCTCAAGGCTCATTTTATGTCCTCTGGCGTCTCCCAACGCCTGAATTTCTGGGTCTGGCCTTTGAAGAGGCTGGAAGAAGGGTGCAGAGGAGGAAGGAATCTGTAGTGAGGCAGACCCCGCCTTGGACTATGGCCTGGAAATTTCTTAAATGCGGATTATCACTATAGCAGAACAAAACGCAATATACCCACCCAACTTCTCTGCCCTTTTGGGAGGAGAGGATGACCTCTCAGGATGCAGCCTCCTAGGAGAGATGAGGCCAGAAAATCTAGTTGGCAAGATGAGCTCTCTGCTCTCCATCACAGCAGGCACCTGTTTGTGAACTTGTAACAATACATTGTTCCCTGTGATGTTCTGATGCAGGTCAGTGTCCCCTGGGTCACACTCCCTCTGAGAGCAGGGACAGCTCCCTGTGCCTCCCTGTGGTCCTAGCACAGCCAAGACAGCCAGTGCACACAGGGACCACACGCGGGACCAGGGCAGGCACTGCCTAAGCCGCCAGGCGTCAGAGGCAGCACCTCTGAAGCCCTGGCAGAGTGTCCCCACAAAGGAGCTGAGCCTTCCAGTCAGGATGAGCAGCATCTAGCAAAACCCTCCCGGCTGCAATGCACGCCCAGGCACTCATCTCGAAGCGCCTCCTGAATGTCCTCTCAGGTGCTCTCTTCTCAAGGGGGCCATGAGGGGCCCGGGAGGGAGAAGCAAAACCAATGGCACATGAACTAGATTCCAAAAAGACAAAGTTTGCCCTGGACTTAAATGAGCTAAGCAGGGGTTCTGCTGGGCCAGGAGGACTGATCCAAGGATGACGATAACGGCAGTGGCAGCAAAGGCCCAGCGAGCCCTGACAACGCACAGCGCCACAAAGGGCAGTGCCCACGGATTAGCTCATGCAGCTACAGGCGACTCTAGGACACAGCCCCACTATCACGCCCACTCTTACAATGAGGAAGCCGAAGCTGAAGAAAGTCGGCTGGTTTGTGTGAGACGCCAGGATTCCCACCAGGGTCCACACCAGGTCACCAGAACCAACGTCAGGCGTGGTTCTCCAGGACCCAACAGCTCTTCAGCCACTAGCAGCTCCCAGGCGGCAAACCCAGGGAGAAGATGGTGACCAGGCTCCCAGCTGCCTGCATCTAACCCCAGAAAGTGCAGATTTTCTGGCGGGCCCTGACCACGAACGAGGCAGGCTGCTGAGTGGAGGGTCACTTGAAGTTCTTGGGTGGTTTTCAAGGGAAAACAGGGAATCATAGCTTTTACTGTTAAATGAATCCACCCATAATCAGAGGCTATGCAATCTCTGGCCTGCTCAGCTGCCCCTAGACCCCATCTACCCTGATAGCCAACTTCTGGAGGAGATGCACACCACCGTGACTTCTCCACAGAGGAACGTGATCCACGCCACAATCTGCACTGCACTCAGCAATGGCCTGCTCATTTCCTGCCTCTGCGGGAGTAGGAGCGAGGCAGGAGAGCAACAGTCAGAACTCCTAGTTACCCAGAGTCCCCCTTGAAGGAGGGCCTTGCTCGTGGCGTTACTCTGAGGGAGACAAAGCCCCTTTGGGCTGGCCCATCATCGCCTCTTGGAGAGTCCTCGGTAACCCTGGCTGTCCCGTCTGGGAAACGCACCTGCTTGCTCCGGCCCTCACTGGCTTGTTCTCCAGCGGGAAGAATGTGTAGGCCCTGCAGGACTCAGGAGGTGACCTGCAGAGCCATCCTCACGGCCAGGGCGAGGGCTTCCAGACGGGCACTCACGGGGAACACGGCTAAAAACAGAAAGCCAGCTTCCTCTTGTCTTTCGCTGCCTCGTCTCTCCCAGAGAAAATAAAAGTGCTGTTTCCGGGGTCTCCTTTGGAAGACAGCCCCACGCCTCCCATGGAAGGGTCACACAGGTCATGAGGCCTGGGCCAAGAGTCAGAACTGAACCAGGAAGCTGACATAAGAATCACCCAGAGTGTCTGTTAGAAACACATACTCCTGGTCTCCACCCAAACCCACTGCATCCCACACTCCACGGGAGGCTGTAGGACTGGCTTTGTACCAAGTGTCCTAGGGGGTATTATTATCAGGGAAATTTGGGAAATTGAGAGCAGTGGTTCTCAAAATGTGGTCTCCAGACCACAGCATCAGCTGGGAACTCTTTAGAAATGCAAGTCTTGGGCTCCACCCAGACTGAAACAGACCCAGCCAGGGCCTGCCCTGCCCCTGCGCTTTAACAAGCCCGTGGGGTGACCCTGACCAGGCAAGGTCTGAGCACAGCTGCCCCATGGCAAAGCGACTTTGAGTTAAACCCAAAGTCTGACACTTAATCCAGTGTTTAAGGAAGCCAGTAGGAGGACGGCAGGCCTGCCTCCACAGTGAGGGCACCTGTCTCGTGCCTAGAACCACAAGGTAACAATCCTAAGGGTGGCATGATTCCTGTCACCGGGAGCCAATCACCATGCCAGTTGCCTTGTTTGATTTAATCCTCAGAACACACTTGAGGTGCGTGTCCTTTGCAGATGAGGAAACTGAGACCCAGAGAGGTTAGGAAACTTGCCCACAACTAGCAGGTGGCAGAGCCAGGCTCCGAGCGCAGGTGTGTTGGACTCCACAGCCATGTTCTGGGACACCGCCCTGTCCTGCCTCCCAGCAGACGCTGCAACCAGGAGCTCTTTAAACTTTCCATCAGAGCTGAGTTCCCGGGAGGGACCAGTTAATTCCCTACAACTCTGTCATTTCTCATCTTCAGGTCTAACATCCGTCAAGGACTTGACGGCTGAAAATGTACCTACCTCTGCTGGGTGCGTAGGGAAGATGCAGAATGCGTGACACACCGTGTGTCTGACAGCTTCCCTGGGGGAGTCAGACAACATCTGCAGCCCCTCCTCCGGACCCCCCACTTGGAAGAGACTGTTTATCCTGCACAGCAGCTAATGCTAGTTTCTTGTTTTCGCTTTTTAAACTTGAATTTAAGTAAGATGTGGGCATTTGTAGTACCATTTGACACTGATTTCCTCTTCTTCTGCCCTGCCTCCCATCCACACCGTTACAAATGCCAGACTTCACCTTTCCGGAAGCCTGCGCTGCGTTCTCTCAACTTGCTGCCCCTGGCCCCCACCTTTCAGTTTACAAATTACAGTGGAGGAAAAGGTGTTAGTGAAGGAAAGTGGTCTGACCCACACTCACCCCAAGCCCACGTCACCAGCTCTGCTTTGACTATAGGATCCCACCCCGAGAGTGGCCAGCGGGCTGTCCCTCATCTGAATATGGCAGGGAGTGGTAGGTCTCTGGGATGCTCTGGGTAGAGATGCTGAGTTACGTGACGATGACATGCATAGTGATGGCTTCAGAGGCTGCCCTGGGATGCACAGAAGAGCTGTCCTGAGGCCGGCCCCAGAAGCACTTGACCCAGAGCATGGCTGAGGTGGTGGAATGCAGCTGAGGGGCTCTGCCAGCAAACACCCTCTGGAAGACATTCTTAGAACTTAAAAAAAAGGCTCTGCTTTCTTTATCCCCACACATTCCCTTGCTCATGGCTATAGAGAACCACCCAGTGTGTGACTCAAACATCTCCATGTCAATCCAAAGCCTCCACCAGAGTCCAGGGTCATGCAAGCGCTCCCACCCCAGGACCCTGCAGGGGACTCTGGCCAGCACCCATTTCACCCCGTCTTTCTGATCTTCTGTTCTCTTTCGGCTCCCTTGATAACCTACTGAGCACTCTGAATCCTTGTGTACTGACAGTGGCAGGCATGGACAGGCCTGAGAACACAGTCCTGGGGTAAAGCATACTCAGGGAGTCTCATGGGGGCTGGAGCATGCATGTGCCCCAGAGGCACCACTCAGGTCAACACAACGAAAACACTGGACTGACAAAAAGCCACGTGCCGCTGTGCGTGGCCCCTGGGACACGAGTGTTTTGCTCCTCTCTTTACGTACAGGAGAAAGAAAGAAGCCTGGAGAGGTGAGGTGGCTTCCTCAAGGCTGCAGAGTGAACTAGGGGCTGAGTCTTAGCAGGAGGCCCTGATTCTACCCTGGCACTCCCTCCACACAGCCACCTGCCCCTCAGCAGCACCTGCTGTCTGGTGTGGAGGTGTCTTCCCTCCAAAACATCTGGAAGCAGACACCTGAGGGCAGAGCCTGTGAGTGCTGGGTTTTTAATTACCATTCCCATTAATGCTGAAGTGTCAAGGACATGACAGGTGTTCAGTAAACAGTCACGGAATCTCTGAATTAAGTGAAATGGATTGTGATCCTTACTGGCTGACAAGATGAGGAGAGAAGCCCTCAGTGATCTGGGGAGAATGGGTCATCATGCAGCAGGAAAACAAGAAGAACCCTGGGCTTGAACCAGAAACCTTGAGTTTGCATTCTCGTCAGCACCTAGTCACCATCAGTGTCCTTGCCTACAAAGCGACCAGATATACGCCCTCACCACTTTACAGGCTTCCTGAGAGGATGCCCAAGTGAGGTGATGGAGACAGAGCTGTCTGCAAATGGTCTGGCACCACATGGTCATAATAAAGGCAGCCACCACCTAAAGGAGTGCTATTCTAAACAATTCACGTGCCGAGTGCTGTTTTAAACAATTCATACATATCTCCTCATTTAACCCTCACACCGATTCTGTGAGGAAGGTACCGGCATTGCCCCCATTTCACAGATAAGGAAACGGAGGCATAGAAAGGTTGCCTGCAGCTGGCAGGTGGCACAGCCAAGATTCAAACTCAGTCTGCCTCGGATTCCACACTGCCAGCCAGGGGCTCTGCTGCCTTCTCCCAGCAGGCACTACATTTACCAGGGCCAGCCCCGCCACTGGTGCACACAGGAGACAGGGGTCGTAGCTCCTGCACACAAGCTCACCTGCTGGCCACGTCCTCCTCTGCGCCCTTGTCCAGCACGCTGCTCAGGTTGTGCTCGGCCTGCGTCTCCTCGGGCACCTCCTCCAGCTCCTCTGCCTGTTTCACAGACAGGCGGTAGTTCTCCAGCTCAATCCTTTCGGGAGTACCCCTCAGCCTCTTGGCAATGCTGGGCTCCTCCAGGCCATTCACACCTGAACCTGTGAGACAAGCAGAGAAGCAACGTTCTGATGACAAATGATGGGAACTGAACACAAGCCGTGGGGTCGACGGAGGAGGTGCAGGGAGGGAGGAGGCACCAGCGGAGGGAATATGTAAGTATCCATGGCAGCCACCACTCGCTTCAAGGGAAGGAGGGACAGCCCTCCCATGAGGGCCAAGGAGCCAGCCAAGGGACAGGCTAAGCTCGTGCAGGTCCTGGATTTGGCAGAGGCCTGGAGAGGACCCTGCTGTGCGAGCAGCAGGCCTTCACTGAGAGGAGGACAAGAGCCTGCACGTCTGCCCCTCAGGGCAGGTGTGCTCGCTCTCCCCCGTCATTCCCGGACAACGGTGGTGGCTGGTTGGGTGAAGGGGCTTGGGACCCGAGGAAGCTCTTCCAATCAGAACCAGGCCCCTCTAAAGCAGCCTTCATGGAGAAGGCATGTCCTTCCAGCTGCCCCCAACCCCGAAGGTCCAGGATCCAGGAAAGGTTCGTGTACTGCATGCGGCTGAGCCACCGAGGTGCCCAGGCTAGTTGCTCCGCAGATCTTCTCACACTGTGGCTTTGTCTGCCTCCTCAGGGTTAGACTCACAGCAAAGCACCACTGTCTAATAAGATGGCCACGTGGCGTGCTGTGCCCTCCCGCTGCACTTGGGCAGGAGGGTATGGTCAGGCTGCCTCACTCCTGGTCCCTCAGGCTCGCCTGCTTGCTGCAGGTGGGGCCCATCCACCTCTCTGTTGTAAAGAGACATTTTCCCCTATGTAATGAGTAAGTAGTCTTTGGGGTGATAATGTAGAAACTACGGGACTGCCAGCCCCCTCCATTCAGTGGGTTTAGCGTCCACTGATGATCTTTTCCTCAGTCAATTACTACACTGGGAGCCACAAAATGATAATTTTTAAAATTTGATCATTCGCTCTCTACTATCATTCTTTTGCAAGAAAGAACTTTCCCCTTTCTCTTTATTTTTTTGAGTACTACCATGGACTCATGGATTTTGAAAAACTTAAAATGTTGTATTTGACTATTACGTCTCCTGAGACTCCCTTAATCCAGAGTCTTTTTTGATGTACCTTATTGTGCCAAATTTGGTCAGAGGAGGTCTACCACTTGTTCTTTACTCTGTTCACTGTAATATGATGTGGCACACAGGTTTAGAGTCAGACAAATCCAAGTTAGACACCTGACTCCACCAGTGATCAGCTGAAGGGAAGCTGGGAAAATGGCCTAAGTCCTGAGAGGCCATTTCCTGACCTACAAATGAAGACCACACCCGCCTCCCAGGGTTATTAGGAACATGGGATGAAATTACACACATATATACAATGCACATGTGTGTGTGCCCCACACAGGTTATCTTCCTCTTCAACTTAAGCCCAGCACATGGCAGTATTTGGCAAACGTGAGTTTAGCAATACAGCTATGTCCAGTAACATTTTCACCACCAACTTGTGCATATTCTTGTGTAGTATGTTGTATCCATTTGCTCTGGATTAGAAACAACAGTCACATGACAAAGAAAGATGGGAAGAGAGTTGCAGGTAGAGGGAGCAGCACTGGCTAAGGTATGTGACACGAAATGGCAGTTTAGTATGACTGGATCTTAAAGTGGGAGTGGACTCGAAGTGGCAGAGAAGAGGCAGAAACAGAGGAGAGATCAGGTCATGAATAGCCTTGCATCCTGGCCAGGACAGGCCATAACACTGGGTTTTGGCACGCAGTTTTCTACCAACTCAGTTGTGGATGACAGGTGGTCTATCAGGCAAAGCCTCGAGTCTCTACCACGCAGGACCAAAGGAAAGGAGCGGGAATATCAATCAGTAATTTCTGTGGCATGACAGCTTGTGCAGAAAATGTTATGGCAGCCTGGTACTTCTGTTGTGTGCAATGTTCTGAATCTCTTTGTAATATCATTAGAGAGAACTTCTTATGAATCCAACTAGTCACAGAATAAAATCTTAGTGCATCTGCTGGAATTGCCAGGATCTTTCTTCCAGCATCTTTCAAATTTACTAGAGAATCTTTACTGAAAAGCAAGACCCAGGGCATGTGCATTTACAAATTCAGGTGAATGTATAACGACAGAGTCTGGGCACGAATCCTTGGGCTCACCTGTGCCCTGTCTTCACACTCTTGGGAACGTCATTTTAAACATCCCTGCTCCATTCTTCAACACTAAGCTCAAGGCCCCCAAAGTGTAAGCTGTGATGCTGGACTAGAGCATCTGGAAGAATAGGAAATATGTGGACTCCAGGTAATAGCAAAAAAGATGCAGTCTATACCAGATCAAGTTAGAAGGTCCTAGAAGAGACCGAAAAAAATTCCTGAGAGCCAAACAGAGATGAAGGCAACTGGTGGAGCTGGGCCTGGAGGCAGGGAGCACAGCGCGAGCGTGCCTCTCAACACCCTCCAAACCTGCCCCCGCCCCGGTGGGCACAGGCCCCAACTGCACTGGGCCATTGTTTCCAAACCCCAGTCTTCCTGCCCTCTCTTTCTCTTTCTCCTTAGAGAAACCCAGCATAAGACAGACGAGACGAGAAGGACCCCTGACTATAATGCCAGTTGGTTCTTTCCTTACCATCACGCATAGCCGACAACCACCCTCAACAGAAAGATGAGAAAGGGAGACCAATGAGAAGCACTGCCCAAGGATACTGTTTTGGGGAACTCCACGGATATGGGATAAAAATCAGTACTTCTTTGAGCTGGGAGAAGAAAAATAGAATAAAAACTGTCACTTCAGGGAAAGCAAACAACTAACACTCATCAGTTCAGATCCCAGCCACGTCAAGGCAGAGTGAACAGCACACTCACGTAGGAAAACATGCAAGAAGGGAGGTCTGTTTTCAGGGGGTACCACATACTGCTCGCCAGAATTCTACTAGGACCTTGGGAAACAAAGCAGAGTACAACTCCCTCTACTCTTAAGGAGCCATAGGCTAGTCAGTATGGTGGCTCAAGTATTACGACTTACTCACGCTTGTGGTACTATGGGAGCACATCAAAGGGCAACTGAGCCCACCCAGGGATTCAAGGAAGGTGTTCTGGAGGATGACGGACTTAGCTTCGTCGGCTCTAAAAAAACATTCCGTGAGGTGGGTAATAATTTGTAAATGAGGTAAGTGAAGTTCAGAGACATTAAGTAAGCTGCCCAAGGTCACACAGCTAGTGAGCAGTGGAGCCAAGATTTGAATCCAAGGAGGACAGCATTAACTCAGAAGACTACCATGCTGTCCCTAGACTTACGACATGAAGAGAAGAAAACAAAGGTGCACTTCCATAGAGTCCTATTCTGCTTTCCCCTTTGGGAGTCTTCACCATAATCTGCTCCTCCCATTATAATTTTCGAGATGAAGGATGCAGAACTTCATGAAAGTGTCTTAGAGCAGAGAATCTGGCATTTGGAATGACATTCTGTCCTCCTCCCAGTGTTATTTCTCTGGAGTTTTTACAAAGCTCTGCGAACTAACAGATCATCAAGCAACAGAATCGGGAGCCCAAGCCCAGAGTCTGGGCTCTGGGGAGGGCAAACACCGACTTAATTCTGGACTTGGCCACAATCAACAAAAAAGAAACCAGAAGCACTCAGAACTACGCAAATCATTCACACGTCAGTCCCCCAGAGAAAGGATGCTTTGGGCCATGAAAACTGTAAGAAGTGTCCCACTGGAGATTTTGTAAAAACTGAGGTGGAAGGAGCAGAGTCACCTTGCCACTGCCGCAGTCCCACCAGGGCCATCGGTCAACATCCGCATGAGCCAGAACTCCCTAGAGCTCAGCGCAGGAAATGCATTGCAGGATGTTCCCTTGGGGCCAGGGCCCCACAGAGATCCCGTTTTCCTAGGGGAAGGTGGCACTCAGAGGGTATGTGGCAAATAGCCAAAACTCACCGAATGCCAAAGTATGTCTAACATTCCTAGCCCATAGCCTCAAAATGCCACAGGAAATTTAAAAAAAGAAACCAACAAATCAGCACTCTTGATTCTCTGTCCTGAGCAAAGGGACTATTTGCCAGATTCACCAGATGGTACTGATAAACTAAGCATCAAAGGGCTGACCGTGGAGGAGGCCTGGGCAGTGGCTGTAACAACCCTGTGACTAACAGAGAACCTGCCCCTCATCCCCCAGCCTTCCTCTCTCGTCAACTAATGGAAGAGCCTGGGAGGAGATGCAGATGTAAGAATAACTGTCAGACGCTGGTTTGGAAAGTCTAAGTATCATAAGGGTGGTCCGGTTAGTGGGCCACGACCCACCTGGCCCCTCTACCTCACGTGCTTTAGTGCAACCACAAGCATACAGGGACTTGCAAACCTGATTCTTCACTAAGTCAGGGCAGGCAGACCTCAGGTCACTGGAGGTCAAGTCCAGCTTCACACACTGAGAGGAAGCGGCGCCAGGATCTCGGTTGCATCCTAAACAGGAGAAGACTCTGGGCCTGACCAAAGGGCTCTGCTTCTGAACAGCCACTGCCCACACGGGCTCCATCCATCATCCTGAAAGAAATATTTTTCCAAACAGGACAACCTGCTCTCAGCTAAAGTGCAAGAGCTCTCATGGGAAGCATGAATGAAACCATTTGAGTTGGTGGCTATTCTAAAGTGCAAGAGCAGCCAGAAGCCTTTATTTGTATCCCATTCCTGGAGAGACGTGAGGGATGGAGATGATACTCAAGGGGCGGGGCTCCCAGCGCCTCAGCAGGCAGCTCTCTTTCCCTTTCCTTCCCGCACAGTCACAAAGCCCCAGTACCAGCTGGGGCCAGCTGCTGGGCACTTTAGGACTTTGGGCAACTGTCAAGAATGTCACATAAGAGATGGGGACATCTGAGGGCCTTCTCTCCCTCTGCCCATATTCATATCTGGCCTGTTTTCCCATTTTTCCTTCCTTCTTTATAAGCTTGGGAAAGCTTTAACGAAACCTGAAAGTCAGAAAAAGACTCAGGAAAAGGCGCGGAGAACTGAGATTGATTTTCATCACATTTCCCATATCTGTAAGTAGGATGG